TTTTCCAAACCTCTATTTTATGATGTTCAAACAAATAAGAAACATTTTTAATTTAGTTTTGTTTGGATAACAAATTTATTTTAAATGGTCTTGTAGATAAATATTTATCTCATTTTTATAAAATGCGTATAAACCTAATTATTTTTTTCGAAAAATTAAAAGCTACATACTGCTGCAGGCGATTAACTTTTGAAATTGATGAAAATTCAAAGAAAAACATTTACTATTGTGATTAAGTTATTTAATGTTTATATAAATATCTTTCAAACTATTGTTTACACAGTCGAATTTATAATTTTAGAGCTTTGCGTAATAATAATAATGCACTTGTTGATTTACTGATTCTTCAGTGTACTTATGGACTATAAAAATGCCTTTTAAATATTTATCCTGCAAACTTTGCTTTAAGTACTCGAGTAAATCCTGTTCTGTTGAATAGTGCGTACTTTTATACTTTTTTTCGAATGTTCATTTATTACTCTTCATGGAATTAAAACATTTGATAAAGAACATTAGTAAATATTTTCGATGAATAATTTCATTCAATTGTATTGTTTTATAGCAGTATGTTTGTGCTAATACACTTGGCTATTGTGAGCATTTTTAAACGTAAATAGATTGTTTTTCGCATTGTCTTGTTCTTACAAAATTTAATTTAAACCACATTAATAATAAAAGTGTCACTTGTGACTTTAGTTTTAATATGACCAGCAGGAACCGGAGTGGACGTATACATTTATGGTAATTTCCAGAGATTAGTCATTTTTGGAAACGCACATGCATTTATAGTTTAATTTCTCTTCAACTGGACACAGTTACGAAAAATCAGTCATACAATTTTATAACAAAATTGATTAAATATTTCAAAAACGAATTCTGGAAATTACCAAGCCATTTTATCTAACGATTTATTATGTATGCTCTATGTTCGGTTTTACAATGGCAATGGTTCTATTACAGTATTCGCACAATTATTTATTGCACTTACCCTTCATCTGTTGATACTAAATTTTTTAATTTGTTGTTTTAGGTCTTCCATTTGCAAGATATTAGATGGGAAAGAACTCAGTTTTTGTCAAAGTCGTTTTTGGCTTTTCTCACGTTCAACATAATTACTTATGGTCTCTTGTTTGCTGAAGTTTTAACAACTCAGTTTGCTAGCAGACCATCTCACGATCAAAGTTTCTACATGCACATATTCAATGGTTGTTATGCTGTTCTTCTCTTTATTGTTGTGGTTTTCTTCTTGGTTTACGGAGTCGAAGTGTATTTCAAGGTTTGTAAAGTACATGATGCTAATTTTAATTAAAGTTGCAAATCTCGAAACAATTTTTTATATAAAACAAGTATTTAAGAAATATCAGGAGTTACCCTTATCCGACATTCACGCTATCGTATTCGTTTAAAATATGGTACATATTTCCAATTAATCTTTATTCAGTAAATGAACTGTTATAGATATTAAGCTATTTAGTGTAATTTAGAATTTTATTCTTTATTGAAGGTTCGAGGAGCATTTATAAAGCAACCGGTGCAGTTGAGTGGAGCCCCCGAGTCGGAGCCTTTGAACAACGATCAGCAATTATTACGCCCAAAGATCAACAATTCGCAGTTACACCAGTCCCGTGTGGGTTTAATCAGTCAGGCGTTTATGTTGATCATCATTGTCGGTTTTCTCTTTTCTGAAACGTTGTCAGAATTTTGGAAGACCAAAGTGCCAGTCGTTTCACGCAATTGGCACGACGTTCTTTTCCGTGTTGTTGAAATTGGCGTCGCCATCTGGTTTCCGGCTGTACTCTGGAACTGTATGTCTCCCAACGAACTTTGGATCCTCAATCCTCGTAAACTTCTTGCCAAACTCGACAATGGTAACGTTCCCACGATATATCTCTCATCTGACGAGGGAGACGTGTCGAAGAACGAAGGAGAAGAGAAAACAAACGGTGAATGTTGGATCTGTTATGATGCGGACAGAAGCGATCCCTTAATTCGGCCCTGTGCATGTACCGGAGATGTATCCAGTGTTCATCACGAGTGTCTTCGACGCTGGCTGATGGAGAGTTCGTCGACGAGTACGGAAACGACGCTCAAGTGCAAAGTTTGCAATTGTCCTTATAATGTAGAAACGACAACTAAGATCGATTGGGAACGGGGATTCACAGCGGAGCATTGGGGAAGTACCGCGTTGTTTGTTACCTGTCTTTCGCTGGCCGTTGCAGGTGCTTGGATTACCATACAGTTGGTAGAAGATTCATATATTAGAATGATAAGCGCTAGTATAGCTTTGATGATAATCTATGTCTGTATTAGGTAAGAAAATTGAGACTTTATTAACTCTTACAATTTTTTTTTTATTTAAGATGTTCTGATTTAAAATTTAAAAGATAAATATGTTCTACAGCTATTTGACTTTTGTAAAATAACATTTGGTAGACCTGTAGGTGTTTGCTGCTTTATAACAATCAGTGGATTTTTAATTATAATTTTCTATTTTTTTCTTACAGATTCCTTGGCCAAAATACACTTAGTGCATACAAGAGGGCAAAGATTGGATCGGTGAACATTGGTGACCATGTTACCACAATAAGTGGTAATGTTACGGTCACGACAATGAAATAGAATTGAAACCAATTTATTTATTTAATTTCATTAGATATCTGGGTTGATACTGATTGAAAATGATTTTATTGTACACACTATATTGGAAATTATGTAACCTACGTTAATTTTCACTCAAACGTTTTATCTTTATGATATGAATAAATAGAGGAAAATAACTCAGTAATCTACATGTCATAAATAAATATCAATATATCTCTATTAATTGTGATAAATGTACTGTACCTTCGTACTATTTATAGGATTATTATTACGATAATAGGATATTCACTCTGTATATATTCGTAAAAGTAAGATGCATGTTTATTGTTATATGTCTCTCATGTTTTTTGTTGTTACTATCTTTAGGTCTGATTATTTTTTAGTTGTGTGTATATAAGAATTAAACAATAAATAATAGAATATAGTACTTAAAAAATAATTGTTTTTATTTCGTAATCTTGAGAAAAAATGGTAAAAGTATTCAAAGAAACTTCTGGCAAATAATTTGAATTCAAAAAAATGTAAAAAATATAAAATTTTAGACGGTATAAAAAAAGTAGATGTACAGACAGAGAGAAGACGTGGAGAAAAATTTTTCTCTACATGCACAAGATTAAATTATATATTTTTATTTGTTCAGATTTTATCAATAAATTTTATACAAGTCGGTATTGCACTATGTAAGGGGAGAGGAGACTTTTACGACATTGTAGGTATGCGTTTAAATAACGGAGGGAAGTTTTCGTATTGGTCGCACAAATTTAGACAAATGAATAATTTAAATTTGAATTTAATTATGTTATGTCCGAAATATTTGGTGTTTCTTCACAATTTTTAGCTGTCTATAAACCTGCATCAATGTACCCTGTGTAAATACCGATTTAATACCATTAATCAGATAATATTGTTTCATGCGAGGAAAAAAATAGCAGAATATTCTCTTTCTATGCAAAAACGCACTTTTTCTGGGATTCCCCGATCACCTAATAACGCAAATTTGAAATGAAATTGCAATGTAATTATTTACTATTGTTTACTCAGCGCCACATTAGCAATTTTTGAGCAAAAACATAGGTGTGTTTAACAGTATCGTTTGCGGACATATATTTACTTTTCGTTTCTTTCTCGTTTAATTTCAAGGTGGAGTGTATGGAGATGTGTCTGCAAACTGTTTAATGAATTCATGTTCGAGAACTTGAGATGCTCGACTAACAAGTACGTTCATCCTGTAACATTACATTGTTTTAATTACGTTTAGAGATGTTTAGTTACTAGTAATAATGCATAGATTAAATGAAATCAAATGCAATTCGATAACCTTCGTGTTTACTGACAGGCATTAGAAGATAACAAAAAATAAAAGTTCATTCATTATTTTAATAATTTAATATGTTTGCTGCAGTACATATCATCGTAATTTATAACAAAGTGCTTTTGTAATAATAATGTAGTAAAAAAAACTACAATATGTATCTTTAGTAAAAAAAAATACGTAATGCCAAATTCGATTTTTGAATATGTCTAAAAATGTACTTAACTATAGCAATTTATTCAT